AGTTATTGAATCTAACCTGTTGTCATTTTGGCGGTTGTCAGCGCCTCTACTAGCCACCATCATGAAACGCTACGCGGTCAGTATCACGTCACGAAAGTGGCGGCCAAAATAATATTTGCCGTGAATTTCAAAGGGAGACGTTAGATCACATCCTTCCTCCGCCGGCCCGGGATGACGACATGCGCACCGTCTTCACATTCGCTCCACGTATTCGTCTGCCCCCCCCCTGGTAGCCTAATCAAGTCCTTCGATGACTTACGTCAACAATAACACTGCCTTCGGGGAAGTGACCACGGAATGGTATCCTGAACCAGTGGTGAGCGTATTTGCGGCAGCCCACGTCGATTACAATTATCGGGTGCTCGATGACGCCCCACGACGCCTTGTACGCGCCATGGCGAACCTACATTCGCACGTTTTACGCATTTGTTTTTTTTAGATCAACCCGCGGTGCGCTGCCAAATACTAAACTCGCGCAAGTATAGCTCCGCATTTACCTGACCATATTCGCCTGATTCAACATATCATTGCTCGAGGCCTGTTTTCGACGTGGGCTCAAGTTGAAACCCCACTTTCTTTGAGAAGCGACCACACCTCAAATCGACCTGCTAGCTCTCGACCAGGCCTCCTAAAATACAATAGGCAGTATACGCAGGCAGCTGTGGCATCAGCAATACATAGTGGCGTATCAAGACAAACAATAATCCGCAATGCCGCAATATTCAGTATATTTTGCGAGCAAGAGCTATCACGGCACTAGCGTCGACGCGTTCCAGAGATCTCGGTTAGCTTTAAGAAACATCAATCTCTCGAAGTTAGCTGAGCGCATGGAGGCACGGCGCGGCTCAAGCACGTACTTACACTCCGAGAAGAGCCGCTCACACCGGTTACGCGTTGGTGGGAAGACACTGAGAAGTGAAATGTAGTCGACAGCACGCCTCTGGAAGTAACGTGGCTTCTTGGCACGGCGCAGAATCTCACTCGCAAAGTCAGCGGCTGGTTCATCTTCACTCTGTCCAGGACTTTCTGGGCGCCGAAACGCCTCGATCGCCTTGGCTTCTGCACTGGAAACAGGAAGAGCACTCGTGACCTTGATGACCGCTGCTTCAAAGACCGGTGAATGAACAATCTCGGCTGTAGGCTTTAGATACTCTTCCATGACAGGGTACATTGCCATGCAAGCGTCAAAAAGAGCACGGACCTCACCAAGCGTTCGGCTGTGATGCTGCAGCTTCTCGCTGACGCTCTGGAGCTCCTTCAGCTTGTCGTGCAGCACTCGAATCCGGCGATGCTCACACAGACGGGGGAGCAGCTCTTCGACCTCGGCAACGTGCTTCGCAGCGTCGCGAATGCACACATACTTGTGTACCATTTTCCACACCGATGACCAGCGAGTCGCATTCGCTTTCTCAGGCAGTAGAGCTGTGTGAAGCGCTAACTGAGCGGCGTTGTTTGGTTGGCGGAGGCTTGTCATCAGGCGTTGAATCATACTAATCAGATGCTCGTGATTGGACAAAAAGCGGACCATCGCCAAGTTGAATCTGTGACTGGCGCACCCAATAAGGGGTACATCAAGCTTCGTTGCCACGCTCTTGTTCGTGGCGCAGTTGTCAGCCACGACAGACTTGACCATCGCCAACGTCTTGCCGTACACATCCAGGATAGCGTCGATGAACTCGATGTGAGCGTCTGCCGATTGTCCGTCCTTCATTGGAGCTAGTCCAACTAGTCGTTCGCATAGACCATCACTACCGTGGTACACGACAAACACCGCAACAAAGTGACGCGTCCCAGAGCTCCATCCATCAAACATAACACCGAAACACTCGCCCATCTCCTCGGCGATGGTGTTGCCGACACGTTCAGCGACTCGTTGCATGTAGGTCTTCAGCGTCTCCGCTGAGGTAGGCTTCATGCGAACTAACTGTCTCGTTAGTGGGTTCTCAACCTCGCACAGAGGGAGATTCCGCTCGACAATCCAGCGTAGCCAGTCGTACATGTGAGTCGTCGTTTCGTCCACGAATCCAAAAACCTCGAGGGAGGTCAGGTTTCGGCGCTGAAACTCAGCATACTCTTCGCCGTGAGTGGGATGCTTCGAGTTCAGGTGAGAGATCAGGTTTGTGTAGCCTGTGCGCTGGGCTTGCTTGCGTGGCTGTTCGCAGATGTTGCACCGGTTGAGCCCAGGCTCGAGAACGGTGTAGAAGAAAGCGGCGAGTTGCTGGGACGACATGATGTAAATCAAGAATGACCGCCTTCTCAAAGATTGAAAGTGAATTAGGCGCTGAAAAATGGCTGGTGGAGAGGAATGGGTGGCTGCAAGCCACTCGAACGGTAAGCCTTTATATTTGTATTATTCCGTCCGTATCACACTATATTATTGTCGCGAAAAAACAATAATCCGTAATATAATAACAAATAGGTAGTAATTGCTGTATTGATATTATTTTCTCGGAGGCCTGCTCTCGACTCCGTGGTGGTCTGCAGCGGGGTTCGCGTTCACGGTGTCAGCAATCGTCGTCGGTTCCTGACAAGATCATCCGATAGATTTCCAGACACGAGGACAAGGCGCTGTGCCTGCGGTTGCAGACTCAAAAGCGATGCAACTTTCGCAGTTGCAAACACGCTCACTCTTTCGCAAAACTTGGAGCTGAGGTAGTGACCTATCTTACCAGGATACACGACCCGGACATCCCAACCTTACCGCGTGACACCTGGGAGACGAGCAGTAGACTAGTAGTTGTGTTTTACAAACCGTTGTTTCGGATATCGGACACCTGGTTTTCGGTAAGTCTAGGCGATGGTACATCGTTGCGTAGCGCCAGGCGCTGCAGGAGCTGCTCCTGGAATGCTTGTTGAGCTGCAGCCTGCCAAAAGAGGTCCGCTTGGGTGGCTATTACTAGCGCTGCAATTGCTTCAAGGTGTTCATCCGTCGGATTCAGGGTAGAAGTAGACATGGAAACTTGGTCTGTGTAGGGCCCGTTGTACTGCCGCGGTCAAAACGGACGACCGTAGAGACAGGTTCGCCAGAGCTCGCGTCCGTTACACTAACGCTAGGTGTCGGCTCGAGCGATGTTACAGATTCGAGCAAAGGGCGTGGCTCTGTGTTCTCGATCACCGTCTGGACGGAAGGGGCCGTTCACAGGAGGACCTCTATGGCAGTACGGTCGCCGAATCTAGAAATGTCGAGTGTTCCACCGGAAAGGGGCTGGCTACGAGATAGGCCGATTTGAAATATGACGCTCAATCGATGTTAACCTCATCATCCATGCGAGTTGAGGATCGAGCTGGCTCATGTACTTGATAGGGTAATTCAGAGGACAAATGTGTATCATGCGGCCGTATTCAGAAATAACACGAAGTTCTTCTTCACTAAAGCTAATAGTTGAATCGGGCCTGGCGGGATAAAGGTTCCAATGTTAGTAAAACCGAATTAATTCAGGTTCCGGCTTGTCCGATATAATTAATTCGACCATCAAGATCAAAAGGGCGTTAGGCGTCGTGATGGCTGGGCATCAACGGAAACGCCCCGACGCTGATCTCGTCACGGGTTATTCGGAGGCCCCATTCAGAGGTGGAAGGAATGCCACATGATTCGCTGGTATATCCACCCGAGAGCGCAGATCCGCAATACACATAAAGTCACAAGCTCGCTGCAGGCCAGCACCGGTCGGCGTACTACAGCTGGCAGCCCGCGAATGGAAATAGGCAACAACTTGTCCGACGAGAAAAAAACGTCCAGATGAGCTTCGTGGTAAGCTCGTACCTCGCAGGATATTTAACACACTCTGAACCGGATAAACAAGAACAGTAACCGAAGAGATCGGTCTTATAGCTCCTGGCTGAGGTCCTCGGTCATCCGATGCGGGGGAATGGGATAATCACCGGTGTGGCTGCCAGACATCGAGGCATGTTGGCACGGCATCAAATTATGGAGCATCGAGCATCAGCTCACCCAACCAACCGGGGCGTCAGGAAGAATCATCGAGCTCAAAGGCGCTTGGGTGGATGGGCTTGATATGACGAGGCTACTGAAGCCGCGAGTAAATGAAGCCGTCCCACTCGCCGTCATCCAGCTTAGGCGGGCACTCGAGCCGTACATCCTGGTTGCGGAGTTCCTCGGAGCGCGTCATGGACGTCAGGGGGTCAAGAGTCATAATGCTGGGCCTGGCTCTCGAAGTCCTGGGTAACCGTGCTCGTCTTCATTCTGCTTCGGGACGTGGTAAATGCCGTTGTTTCTTCTGCGCGTCGAAAACCTCTTGTTAATCGTACACTTGTCAAGTGTGTGCAAAATTGGGCATAGTGCGAATTTAGACTCGGATAAAAAAAATTTTTAACCTGCGTACGATCTAGTTGATCCCTACTATCACCAAATGAGTAAGCACGCCAGCTGTAATGTTTTTAATAGGTATTCACTGATCCGTTTGTCTAGACTTACGCTGCGTGTGATCACCTGCTGAAAAGGCATGCTGAGGCTCGGGACCAAAGCGAGTTTAGAATGTCCTATTTTTTTTAAATATTTAAACTTGTCTGTAATATGAGATTTTTCATGCAGCTATCGACATACTTGTCCGGTCCGAAAAAAAAATAGTAGGTCTCTAAAGTCGTGACAACTTCTGTTGTACTGCTTCAATGAAAGCGCGGTTAGCCTTCTTCATTCGCAGCGCTAGGACAAATTTTAATTAAATTTGTACATATTTCAACCAATCATATAGATCTCAAAAGGGACATTGACCAATCACACATACGAGGATTCTTACTTAAAAGCATAACTGGTAATTGGACCTCAAAAATAAATCGTTTTATTTAGACAAATACTACAGTAGCAGTAGGACGTTTAGGACGTACTGAAGTATCATCTTCTTCCGTTCTTACTCCCCTCTCCAGCACAACGGATCTGCTGTACATGCATTATCTTGTCTTTGTTAGTTAACCCGTATTTGAGTCATGCCTTGGCGGCAGGGAAAGCAAGCTAACCCTCAGTACAACTCTGCTCGACGTTTTCATCCTTCTTTCTTCATCTTGGGGGCTCTCAAATAATGAACACGTAGTTCATGTTGCCATCTCTCTGCAACTTTATTCAGTTCAGGCACCATTTTCGCGTTCTCGAGCATAGATGACAATTCTTTGAAATTGTAGAAACGCGTGATCGTCTGCATCATCGTCGTTGGCTCCACATCGGGCATCAAATTATATTTCATCATGTAGCTCTCCCACACCTGCATATTCGAGTTGGTCAGAAGCTTATCCAGTCCCTCATCCAGCTTCAACAGCTTGAACACTTTGTCAGGAGATACATCTTTGTTCAGCCAATTATTCACCATTCTTGTCTCCAATTTGATGGGGAGATCGCCCACAAGATCAAAGTTACGCTGCCCACGGAAGAAAATCCTCGATAGCCCGTCATAGCCATACCTGTCCGACAAGACTCGAAGCACGACATCCTCTGCCTGCCGCGTATAACCCTCTTTTATGAAAGCGTACCAAGTATTAAACAGCGGCGTCACGAAAATGCCACCTCCCACTTCGTCAAGCTTTAGAATCTTGAAAACTCCCTCGGCAGATTCGGCATTGTCCATCCACTTATTCAGCAGTTCCCTCCACAGTCTCGACGCGAAATTCTCCGTCTCCAAGTTTGAGGATCGTATTCCCATTTCTACCATCTTGGCTACCCCTTCGTCTGTGTACTTTTCACTAAACTTGTCGAGTAATGCCACTTTGTTTGAGGGGTTTTTCACGTTGAAACGATCGATGTAGGCAGCATAAACATGGAGCTTCGGGTTGGAGAGAGCCTTATCAAGTCCGCTGTTAAGGCCCAGCTTCGTAAAGACATACTCCTGCGTCTTCTGTTTGTCTACCCACTTCTGGACCTTGCGGTTTTCGAGAAATGTGAGCTCTTTCGCTACCTTCGGACTAAGCATCCATTCGACGATCTTTGAGGCACTGGGTACGCTTATTCCTCTCTCATCGGCATGGTCAGCTCGTAGCATCCTCGCAGCAGGAGCATCGTGGGAAATGCTACTGACAGCAATAGCCTGGATGCCTGAAGCGTTTACTTTTGCATCATAAGTACTGGCAATGAGAGTCACAATAGTCAGCAACACCGAATAGAATCGCATACTTGAGCGTTGGACAGCAAATTGTGAAGTTGACAGGCTATGGGTCTACAAAGAAGGAAATTAGGCTATTGATTATGGTACGTTTAGTATTAATAGTAATCCCTACACCTGCCGCCTCTGCACTTGCAGCTGCTCCGCTCTGATCTCAGATACTCCATAGTTGAATTTCGACTTGCCATCGCTTTGCCGCAAAGTTTGCGCTCTGTCCGCCTCCTCCAGAAACTCAGGAGGCGTCACATCGTCCGGATTCTGCAGCGTCATGGCTGCAAGACGCTCTTCTGCTGCTCGAGAATACCACTGGTCCAGGTCTTTACCCTGCGCGTGCGAATGCGGCGCAGAGTCCCGAGTGTTTGTCGCACTTGTGGGGACAGAGATTAAATTATTGGTTCCTGAAGTTTAGTACTTCAAGTAGCAAACAAGCCTAAGATGATTTTACCTGTCACCTCTCCCTTGTAATAGGGATTCCGAATTACCTAGAATAACTGTTATGAGGTGCTTAATTATGAAAATGTCACTATTGTGTATCATATCCGAAGAAGGCAAGCAAGGACACTTGCTGTTTGCACCCTTCCTTCCTGCTTAGCTCATATCGTAGCTATCTCTGCATCGATCCAAGTTTTTGATCACCTCTACCGACACACCCGTTGAATCTGCTCAAATAATTAGCTTTGCGACCCACTTTAGGTGTTTCATAATATTCGTAAGAATTGAGCTCTGCATAATCATTATCTGCTTCACTGAGCATGAGCATGATGTGAGCTGACTTCGATTCGACTGGCGTCTTGATGGCACCAGCTTTGAAAAATGAAGAAAATCGTAAGGAATGTACTTGTAATGGATGATAGCGTGCTGGCTTCTGTAAATAGACCATTTTAAAGGTACACATAGCTGAGCCACCTCACAACAAGAATACCCTTATGTAGGCATAAAGTGCTGGTTGGTTCCCGCTACGACTACGTAAGGGCTCACCTGTATTTTTTATCGTGCTGGACTGTACACTTAGAAGTTAGTAATCATGTGTACCGGTACAGTATGCTTAACTGTGAGTATCATTCTGGATATTCGCCTAATAATGTGTTCTCCAAATAAATGGTTACCTTCTAGTATGTTCTTCTTGGGTGGAGACAGCTACACCAAGAGGTCGTTATCTACCGAGTGAGGTCGATGATCGACAAAGTGTTCAATGTGAACACGTACAAACTGAGTATTAGGACCAGCGTAAGTCTGAAAACCGCATAAAAAAAGGTCACTAATTGCTCCAGTTACACAAAAAAGCGTCCTCGATGATGCCGACCTCTGTCAATTTAAAGATACAAGCCCGGCTCCTATTACAGTAATACTCTTAATCAGGGAGCCGAATATACCGGGCTCTCGACTTGAAAATATAAAAGCGTGCTCCGGCTCGGTTCGTCCATCCCATGATGATTACACACTGTGCTTCGTTTAAAAGGTACTACAGAAGACCATAATAATACCCACCGGTATTAAATTGATACCGGTGTGTATTCTTTACTATTAATAGGTAAGAACTGTACATGTATTTGATTCCAAGATTCAAGATGCGATTGTGGAGATTGTGAAACAAGTGACGACCTCCCATATCCCTTTAATTGCGTGGCAGAACACTTCGCGAACATGTGGAGTTTTTGGAAAACATGACGAGATTTTTTTACAAAGAACGGTAATCATGTAAATTGGGATGCAACCTTTACATTTCGTTGACGGTTTTGGTGCTCCGAGAATTAATAACCCGGGTTTTGTTCTGTTTCGCCAGCCAATAGGATTCCTGTATCTTCACACCTGCACTAACCCTACAAATTGGGAGTCGGTTATGGTATGGGAGAACGCCTTACGGCCACAATACAGTGTGGCCATGGCACAATAAGTCTGCGTCAGCACCATAAAACTGATCACCACAACGGTGCGCTGGGCAGCACACTTCGCAGCACAATACAAGCAGAAAGCGCAGGAAGCGTGCAAAAAGGCCGCGGTTAGGGTGAATCTGGTCGCTCTGAGGCAATTTTCGTGTGACCCACAGCATTCCTGGAAAGCACAACTACCGAGGATGCCGCCGAGAGTTAGCTGGCGAGAGATCACTGTAGATGTCCACGCCGCCGAAGCGGAGGCGGTATTGGCTAGGTTCACGTCGTTCGACATCTACAAGAGCCAAGCAATGGGGTGCACCATATGCCCCGGTGCCGACCACAAGATGCGTTATCGTCTACTAGAGTGCAGCTCTACTTTCTGCGCCGAAGCGAGCCCACTGAAGTGCTCATGGCGGGGGAAGATGGTGACGTGCCTGGACAACGACCACTCCTCCATCTTTGAGTTCGGTCAGCACAGCTCACCTGCCGCGACCCCAGCCTCCAAGAAACTCACTCTTCGGCACAAGGCCTTCTGTCGTGACCTGGTCAAGCAACGTCTGAGACCGATTCGCATCAGACACGCGCTTGCTCGCAAGTTCGGCACCCCTCTTGAAGAGCTGCCAGCGTTGAAAACCGTCCAAAACTTTGTGAACCATTACAGCCGCACTCAAATGGAGAATCATGACCGCGTCCAGGAGCTCTCCGCTTGGGTCCGTGACCATGCCTACACCGGGAGCGAGGGCATGACCGAGCCGTTTACATTTGCGTGGCACATGGACAATCAGGGTAAGCCCATCATCGGAAACGGCTCGGACAAGCAGCCGTTCCTGGTGGGCATCAGCACGAAGGCCCTGTTGTTGAGGCTGTCCGTGCCCCCCGAGAGTTTTATTCTCCACCTAGACGGAACTTATAAAACCAACCAGAGCGACTACCCCGTGCTGGTGGTCGGGGTATCGGACCGCTCGCGTCGGTTCCACCTTGTTGCGCTCTTCGTTATGTCCCAGGAGACGCAGCCCATGTTCCAGGCTGCGCTCATGGCGCTTTGTCGAGTGTACCGTTGGGTCACTGACAAGCATCTATCCGTGTACTACGCTATGGCCGATGCCGATAGAGCCCAGTACAACGCCCTCGCTGCCGTCTTCGGCGACAACCTGAAGTACCAGTTCCTGATGTGCTTCTTTCACGTGATGAAGCACATCCAGGAACATGTGAAGCTACTTTCTTCTGGTGCACAGGCTAGAGTATTACGCGAGCTATACGATCTGCATTTCGCGCGGAGTTACTCAGAGTATATAGGGATGCTGAGACCAATCTTGTCGGGGTGGATGAGGGACCCAACTTTAGTTCCGTTCGCGCAGTACATACACGGGCAATGGCTGACGGGTCCCTTCATGGCGTGGCAGGTGTTCATGACGCCGAGTGGCTTCGCATCCACAAACAATCCCGCAGAAACGTTCAACGCGCTGTTTAAGCGCGATTACACGCTGCGTCGCAGGCTTAAGATGGACACTCTTCTTCGAGAGCTAAGCGCGTGCTGCCGAGATCAATCAAGTAGTGCCAAGGCGTTCGAGTTTACTGTGTGCCCCGCACCAACCCTCGCGCGTAGGGTCTCCGAGTTGGTTCGAGAGAAGTTGCTGGGTGTCGGCGAAGACCAAGACCTTAACGCTCTGCGCGCTGGAGCCTGCTGCATCCTCAGGGTTATATCGCTCCCAGCACCGCGTGTGCAGGTCGCGCCCAACAACCGTAGCGAAGAAGCCATCGCAGTGACGGCGCAGATGGGCGTCAATTACGCGCGGAAGGAATTTGAAGGAGAACCGTCGGATGGCTGGCCTGTTGACGTCCTACGGCAATGGAGCCCATGCCGCTACTGGTTTGCCTTTGGTGCGTGCATCCACGTATTGTTCGCTCTACGCGTCACTGCACATGTCGACAGCAGTGGCCGAGAGGTTTTAATCAACCGCCGCAAGCGCAACCGCGGAGAAGTCACGGTCCTACCGGATATTGGTCGTCCACGCACAAATGGTGCTGCACTCAGCTTCGACTGACCCAGTGCATGCAATCTGTCGAACTACGGCGATGTCTGATCATGTGCATATCTACTAGCATGCGTCTAATGCAATACGTGTGAGGGATCTGCAAATACATTTACATGTCTTACGGTTAGATCCAGCATTCATATACGTCGAGTAATGGTGGCTTTCAAAGATCATCTTACCGCGTTAGCACATGTACAATGCTGTAGACGCGAGGACTTCCATCTCCCTACTCTTCTTCGCCAGACCCACTTGATGTAGAAGAACCTCCACGCACGTCCACCGAGCCGGATGAACCCGTCAGCGAACCCCCACCGCTCACGATAACACTTCCTCCTGCCTCGGCCGCGCCGCTGGAACCGCCGGCCGCGCTCACCAGGCCACTGGCACCCGTATCGCTAGAGCCTCTAACCACACGCACAGCGCCAGCTCCGCTCGCGCCCGCAACAGACGACCCGAGCGTCACGTCACCGCTCATGGCTGAGTCGTCGATGCCGCTGCCACTCAACACAGACACCGAGCCGCCCTGTACGACGCCAGCGCCACTACGCCGCCTGCGCTGTCTCCTGCAGAGCTCCCGCCCGCCAACCGAACGGCGCCCGCGACTACTTCTGTCGAAAGAGACGTCGGCAGCCCAGACGATCCGCCCAGCATCACGTCGTTCGCTACAGATTCAGCACTGGAGCCACCACGCACGTCGATTTTGCCGCCGTCGGTCACAGACGACCCCACCGACAAGCTGATGCTTCCTGCCGAGTCAGTGCTGTCCGAGCCAGTCGCAGCGCCGGACGAAATCCAGACGCCGCCCGACCCAACTCCAGCCGGGCTCGACACACGCACCACACCGCTGCTACTCGAGCCTTCCCCGCTACCCAACGCCAGTGACGCACCACTTCCCGACGCACTCGCGCCACCGGACATCGTTTCGTCGCCTCCCGTCGCACCAGCACCACCAGCTACAGCAAGCGAGCCACCCACGTCGTCGGAGCTGCCACCGCCCAACACACGCACAGACCCACCAGCACCTGCAGCCTCGCCGCTAGACACAATCACCGACCCACTCAACTGCGCAAGCAACGCGCCAGAACCGATCGCAACAGAGCCAGACGAGCCCGCATCGACCGACTCACTCGTTAACGATACAGCACCGCTGCTCGCGGAAGTCGCGCCCCCGTGAAAGCTTAACGTCACCGAGCCGCTCTCCGTCGTTACGCCGTCGCCACTCAGTATCGTCATGCTGCCGCCAGTCAACGACGTCGAGACGCCACCCACCACAGACACCGCAGAGCCTTCTCCGAGCAAGGAAGCACCACCTGACACATCGATTGATTCAGCACTAGTGTCAACAGATCCGCTATCGATACGAACGGACCCGCTTGCTGGTGGAATGACTGATTCTAGAGTGCCTCAGAGTGGTGTGGACTACACCGGTCGTGCTGGCAAGTTGGCACCGGAGCCTACCCTATTGTGGGTGATGGGCCACTGTGTTGATCAGATTTGCGTTTGTGTTTTGTATATTTCCTCATGGTATGGTATGGTATGGTAGCCGAGTGGAAGTCGGTAGCCGTTACCTGCGACCACTCAAAAATGTTTGTTTTTCAACTCATCTGCAGGTTAGCATTATGTCAACGTTCCGTGAGCCTGATTGGACAGAAAACCATGCAATTGAGAACCACTATTATTATTCATGTTCTAGGGCTGAAACTTTTAATATTTTGCTCCACCAAAATCAAACCTTCTGGCATGGTTTTCCACTTAACATAGTAAATCTTCGCTGGTGCTTTGAGCTGAAAAAAAAACGGCACGCGAAGATTTAATTTGATTAGCCAGTCAAAGATACTTTTCAACCGTGATAACCCCAATAAGTAATCCCTCTTGATTAAAAAAAGTCGCAGATTTTACTTTCCCAAACAGTTTTCAAATCAGTGCACTCTGCCCTGGCTCTTTGTAAATGAGCTTTATTTTCCCAATCAAAAGTATTGGTTTCCAATTAGTACTGGAACCCTAACGTGTCTACAAAACCTTTTTTGCCAGAAAAAATAGATACCGGCTCATGTATTAATAGCGGTAAGCACGATTATGTATTAACCCTTCAATAAATACACAAATTTCTTAATTCTCTCTTTTCTCTTATGAGCCGAAAGCGCGAGGTCCCGTACGAGAGCGACGCGTCCACGGATCCGCCCGACAGCAGCTCCGAGGGTGGCGAGGCCATTGACAGTGACATGAAGCGGCTACGTGTTGCCTATAACTACGACGGTGCTCACGGTGTGCGGTGGGCGGGCGAAGCTACTGCCATGGACACAAACATGGAGATCCCCCGAGCCAGAGCGGTGCGCAGCGACTACGCCGAGGCCAACACCATGCTGAGGGAGTTCCACTACCTGCGCCAGCTGCGCAAGTTCCAGGCCGAACGGGGCCGCGCCCGGGCCAACTACGTGGCCGACTCCATGAAGGAACCGACACCCAGATAAGCCACAGACAACTAGAGACTGGAGTGCACCGTAATTAATTTAATTGGAAGACTTAGCCATCGCTTGGCCAGCTCGTGGCCGACACGTACGAAGTGTGGCCCAAGACACACAGATACTTGGAGTTGTATATATTTTGTTACGGCCAGGCCAGACTCGCCATCCTGTCTAAAGCATCACACTTACGCTACAAGCACACGAGCATGAACAGACCTAAGGCAACTCGGACGTGAGCAGGTTGGCGGCGAACTCTCGCTCCTTCTCGAACAGAGGCGAAGACAAGTAGCGCTCACCGAAACTGGGCAGGATCGTCACGATGAGCTTGTCCTTGTTCTCCGGGCGCTTGGCCAGCTCCAGACTAGCCACCACAGCGGCACCAGACGACGGGCCAACGAGGATTCCCTCCTCCAGAGCCAGACGTTTGGCCATGGCGAAGGCGTCCGAACTGCTGGCCGTGATGACTTCGTCGATCAAGTCGCGTTCCAGTACTGTAGGCACGAACCCAGCGCCAATGCCCTGGATCTTGTGGGGCGCCGGGTTGCCGCCCGACAGCACCGGACTCTCCTCAGGCTCGACGGCAACGATCTTAATGCTGGCCTTCTTTGGCTTTAAGTACTGGGCCGTGCCTGTCAAAGTGCCGCCCGTACCCACACCGGAGACAAAAATGTCCACCTGTCCGTCAGTGTCACGCCAGACCTCCGGGCCGGTCGTCTCGAAGTGGATTTTGGGGTTGGCCGGGTTGTCGAACTGGCCGAGTGTCAAGGCCTTGCCAATCTCCGTCTTAACCAAGTCTTCTGCCTTGGCCACGGCTCCAGTCATGCCCTTAGCACCCGGAGTCAAGACCACGTTGCAGCCAAATGATTTAAGCAAGATACGACGCTCCATCGACATCGTGTCAGGCATAACTAGCGTTAGTTTGTAGCCATGCACGGCGGCTGCGAAGGCAAGACCGATACCGGTGTTGCCCGACGTGGGCTCGATGATGTGCGTCTCCTTGTCCAGACGGCCGGACTTCTCGGCGTCCAGGATCATACTCAGACCGATACGGTCCTTCACAGAGGCGCAGGGCTCCATGAACTCGCACTTGACGGCGATCTTGGCGTGACAACCTTCGGTCACGCGGTTCAAATAGACCAACGGCGTGTTGCCAATGAGATCGGTCATGTCATTAGCGATGTGGAGCGAGCGGGTGTTGCGCAGCAGCGCGCGGCGACCGGAGAAGAGCGAGCGAGCGAGCATTCTGGTGTTGGAAGGGCAGACTACCTGGTGATCCCGTAGATTCGAGAGTGAACTCGCCAATCTTGGCAACGGTAGGGTACAGTACGTACCCCTTTGCCACGTAGGACAATTTGGGGCTACGATACGTCCATGACAGCCAATAAGAGCGTAGTATATCATCGCTTCAACTTTGGTCAACCAAAAAAGCGTACGATTGGTGAATATTGTGTCATGTACTTTACAGTGTGTGCGCAATACACGAGACAGCTTCAAAATGGTCCACGAAGTCAAATACATGTACAGTACAGCTGATTCTTACTCCATTCTATATTGAAATTTCTAAATGCGTGTGCTGGGGTGTTTCTGATCAAGAGTCTGTCAGATTCATCTTTTGATCTGCCCGGTTGGTCGGTGCTGCCACTTGATATTTGAGTGTAATATAAATAAAAAATAAATATTACACTTAGAAAGTTGATTTACAATATGTAACTGCGCATTATGTTTATTATAAATAGTTAATAAATTTAAAATAAAAAATAATCAAATATGATTAAAAGCGGAAACTGTCCAGACAGTCAAGCTAAACAAACAGGCGGTTGTAGGAGGCCAGGATTATTTTATTCGGGATTAAGATCCTGGATGTCAAAACATATCTTAAAAAGAGTACCAAGATACGGGAAGATTAGTTGAGGACGAGAGGGATACGTTTTTACTGTATATTATTATGCTCAAATCCTGGTCAGTACACTTGCAGTTCTATTGGGGCGTACAAAGTCACGGCTACATCGCTATTAGATTAACTGCGGATGCATGAATTTAAGTGTCTCTTAGCCTATGCGTTCATTTAGTACAAACTACAGCAAATATACGGAACGACAAATGTTGATGAAACATCTATTCATCTATGTTAAATCCTCCAATGACTACCATTCTCAATTAGGCTACCTACGGCTCGGTCTGCGTTGCCGAAATTTTTCTGAGTCCGTGTTTCCTCCTTGAGCACTCAGGGAAGGCGGCTTACCCTCCATGGAGGTTGCCGTAGACGTGTGCACAGGCAGAATTCGGCGTGAAAGTTGATTGTGAAAATGCTCGAACCGTCGTCTCGTGAGCAACGTCGAGCTCATATCCAAATGATGTCCATTTACGACTTGACGTACGAACATCCAACACACGTACACACCGCAGGTGTACGCACCAAACCGGATTGGATTGCTCTGTGGGATCACGTTGTAGTCGTGTACACCACTGATCTTGATATGTGTCCCCACCGCTTTACCCGCGCTCACGTAAGGAGCCTGGTTAAGTAGGGTGTAGTAATAAATTTGTTTGGCGTTCGCCTTTACTGTCACGCAGCACGAGTGGAAAGTTTTGAAATTCAAAGGCAGTATGACAGTTTCCTCGCCACTATCCCGACTTGTTGTAGCAAACGATTCCAAATAGATTCATGAGCCGGAGGGACTTCGGAGTTTCGCTTCGCATCGTTTTGGCCACAGCTGTTTAAACTTAGCAAATGTACACGTCGTGTAATCGTAGGTGAGCCGCATACACAACGCCCTCATTGCAGCATCATTGAGCCATGTTAGGGAATTGCTCTGTAAAGCATCGCGTGGTTATAATCTGTCAAGTTGAGGAGGCCGGATATTCTTTTGAGGGGATGAGACGACAAGACTTGACGTACCACTTTGTTTGCAATATCGTGGTATTCGGGGGAATTACTTCTTCGGTAAATCACTTATGTATATAAACCCCTTGGTTCTTAACGTAGTAACTTACGACTTTCAAAAATCGTATTCGTAAGTTACGACAAAATGCTGTCGAACAATTGAAAAAGGCTCTGAAACGATATTTCGATACTTTAATCAAGTCAGTTTATTCCTTCATAAGCTGGTGGAGGTCACAGGGGAAATTGCAGAACTGGACAGGATTACGTTTTGTAAAAGATTGGCTCCCGTTGCGTAGGTGCAGATCGCTCATTTCAGAACTTTCACGATGGTGCACACTTGATCGACTGAACGCGCTAAACCAAGCATACTTCCGAAGGACATCGACTTCAGGCACCTATGGGAGAAGTTAGCTCGACCCCAAGGGCCTAGCGACCGACTGGACGTATGTGAAGCCAGGAGCACCAGCTAAAGGCGCTATCGGCATCGACGTATTTGTCGGCGAGGCAGCCGTGGTGGCTCATATTATTGAGGCTGGATTGCTGGGGGTCGACAACGATGTGAGTGATTCCGTATGCGTTTCTAAGTGCGACGCAGTAATCTGGAGTAGCGAATCTGAGCAGGATGAGGCGATCGTGTACCAAGAGGGGCACAAAACAGAAGAGAAAGACGATGAACACCCCGCTATCTACGGCGGTCAAGACATAGGCAACGTAACGGGTACATGACCGACGACAGTACCTTGTCCGAAAGCAGTGAATGATTATCAGGAATGGATGGCGGAGTGGGCGTGCATGACCAACTCCGCCTCCAAATCTTCTCGATCCAGACCTCGATTTGATTTGCGAAGTATTATAAAAGCCTAATTTTAGGCCTTATGGATCGCGTTATGGTGAAATCTTATATTTCCTACAAAGAGACGTGCAAGTTTGCGAACACACCAGCAATGAAACGCGGGGAATGGTACGCCGTACTCCACAAACAGCTACTGCAACTGAAGGAGCTGGATTTTGCCGACTCTGTGGCCACACCTTCCCCCGGAAGTAAGAAACGCAGACGCAAACGTCATGATCACTCTCTGATTTAGCTCGACGACTGGGTGACAGTCTCTAGAGTTCAAAAACGGCGTCAACAATCTTGTGAAGTGTGTGCTTTGCTACGCGGTGAGCGCAATAAATACTTACTGTCTACATTTTACTGAGATAAATGCTCCATCGATGATGCCAAGTGCTACCTGTGTCCGAAAGGAAGGCGGAAGTACCGAGGTGCGATGAAAACGTGTTTTAAATATGGTACGAGGACTTCGACAGCGGCCTTGCAATTCTTGCTTCACTTGGTAAGCCCCTTGTCCTCAGGCGCCCAGGAAAGAAGACAGGTGTGCGCAAGAAGACTCAAAGGGAACTGCTTCGCGAATAAGAATGCGAAGCAGACGACGAAGAAAGTGGTGGTAGTGACGAACGTAGTGAAGACGACAGTGAGTTTGATCTGTAGAAACGCAATAGTCAGTCATCGTATGGGTTGCTAGAATGCAAACGTGTTTTAAATGATGTACCTTTTGTGTCGAAATTTCTGAAATGATTGGGCTTACTTTCCAATTAACCTTTACACTGTATTTTCTACAATCATCGAATTACGACTTTGCAAATTCAAACTCAACATAAAGATTGTAGAACTTACGACGAAGCCAATTTTTTTCAACTGTAAAAATCTAAATACGTAGCCCGATGCGGATAGTCTACGACTTTACAAACGTCGTGGTAAAATATAAGCCATAAGTTACGGCTTTCGATTAGTGGTTCGGAGCTATGAATTCTGGGAGCCAATGGGTTAATGCCCATTTGTACGATAGTCTTCGATTTTTGCACCCGCTTGGATATCTCGATATATTCTTAAAAAAAGCTACCAATAATCTATATTAGCACGGTCTCGCACTGCTACAGTCAGTCCATCATCCGGATCTACTTCGAGTGATAACGTGACGACTTCTTAATTCCCACAGCGTAGTGACGCTCGATCGGTTTTGCAACGAAGTGTGCAGTAATTCGCAACACATTTGCCATTTCCTTATCGTCACTAAAGCTTCACGGATTGTCCAATACAGAATAGTCTGTATTCGTATTCGTTCTGCTTCCGGTCATAGGCCACCGAGGTATTATTACACTTAGCCACACTCATGGAGCCGCCTACACTCTCTTTTAGCTTTCTAAAGAGACGTTCGAGCCGACTGTACGTGTGGTTATTGAGATGAGGAAGCGTAGCTTCATAGTACAGGGCCTAGCGATCTCTGCGAGCATGCCAATTCTTCTTAAAGTATAAATAATAATCTTTACACAGTGATCGCATATGCCTCTGAGCGAGCCGTGAGTAGGCTCGTATTGATCTTCAGATGTAGCGTAAGCCAACTTGTGCACCCACAGCGTCACTTTGACTGGCATCCACCGGAAGCAATCTGACCAAAATCAGGCTTAGACCTAATTTCTTTACGGTATTTTAATAAGTGAACGTGGTAAATGAAAGTCGTAGCCTCGGGAAAGTTAGCCTCCAACACTCAAATCTCGTTTACGCGCAGCAATTGACACCGGTCGGATGTGACCTCTTAGAGTGTGCAATGTCTCTCTCCATATATCAATCTTCATTAGCTTCAATAAGCGACTATTGTACCACAGCTCCCTCACCAACTTCGCTCATCCCCATAAACGTATGTAGCTGATAATTGTACCAAACAATCATGGGATAATAATGGATGAGTCCTGAAATAACCCTTTACCGGTTTCATAGGGTACGTACCGATTCGCCTTGTGGCTGGCTGCAATCCACAAGTATGATCTCGCTAAACGTCCGAGCACTCTCCTCATGTGTGCCGATGTAAACGAAATAACTCCTAGATCACTATTGTTCGTGTCCGCCATCGAGGATACATTTTCGGGATCAGCAGCTGCAAATAGCGCAAGTTCTTTAGCAGTAGTATCGTTGTCATCCACCATCGATACCGATGAAACGTGCTCGCGAACTAAGCTGTCCACGTCACCCTGGACAACGTTCTGATCATGATCTAGGAGATAGTCGTACATCGAAGACCTTTTGGCACCAGCTGCCAGCTTCCTATCACACGAGCTCCTACCAGTGGATCGAAAACACCTCGTGACGTAGGACACGTGGCGAAAGCAGCTGAAGAGACTCGGTGATTGTTAAGGAAGCGTCCATTCTTCACTAGCAGCTCATAACGCACTAAATTCCACTGGGCAACGAATCGTAGGGGCGGTTGGTCAGACGAATGGTTTGTCGGGGTCGATTTCCTTTACCGCGGGACGTTCGCTTCCTCCATCCATGAGTGCAAATGTAGGTGTGTTGGTATGGGTCGAAGCCTTCGGGCACCAAATAGGACTCATCTTCGTCT